ACGAGGGAACGTGGAGATCTGTAAGGGAGCCCGAGGGAACTGCTGGACAGGGAAGGGACGTAGAACTGCGCACGACGACAGGACCCGCAGAGGGGTCAGCGAGAGAAACAACAGCAGGCGTAGCAAGTGGCGTGAGCGCGGAGCGGTCGCGGAAGAAGCAGGCGGAGGCACCGGAGTCGAGAGTGAAGGACAGCGAAGCAGCAGCGGAGGCCGGGAACGGAGCCAGTGCAGAGACTAGGCTAGGCAAACTAGGCAGTCCTACGCCTGACACAGTAGGGGAGGCTAAGCTATACAATGGTGCAACACCTACGCTGGAGTACACAGGGTAATAAGATCCAGCAACACTAGAAGCGTCAGAATACAAGGCATGCAAAGCAGCACCTATCTGATCCATGTCTAACTCAAAGATCGGCATGCCCTGGCGGAGCAGGTTGTGCCAGTCGGGGAGGTCCGGGGCCGGGCAAAAGCGACGACGAAAGAGATCGTTGAGGCGGCGGAAACAGCGGGCGGTCGGGTGCAGGCGGCGGCACAGAGTGCCGCGAAGAGGCCCGGTCTGAAGCTGGTACTGGCAGGTCACAGCACCGGAGCCGCTCGTAGACGCAGAGCTGTGCGGGCCGCCACCACGGCCGCCACCTCCGGAGGTGCTGGGCCAACCAGGCGGGAGACGGGCCCACTGCTGCGGCGGCTGCTGCTGGGACGGCGGCTGCTGCTGGGGCTGCTCCTGCTGCGGCTGGGGCTGCTGCTCCTGCCCACCGGTGGTAGTCCCCTCAGGCGGACTACCGTCACGACGACCACCACCACCACCACCTGCACCGCCACCCCTACCTCCCTGACGACCACGGCCACCGCGGCGCGCGCGCTGCTGCGGGTGGACCGCAGCAGCCGTCTCGGTGAGAGGGGTCGCCCTGGTGACCGCAGCTGAAACGTCAGTGAGCGTGCACTGGGAGGGGGCACAGCCGTGAAAGATAGAGACTGCCGGCGCACCGCTCGACTGAGCGATAGTGCGCTAGTGAGTCTCGATATCGGTGAGGGTATCAACAAAGGCAGTGAGGGTGAGGTCACCCAGGTGCTGGCTAAGGAAGTGATCGCGAGCACTAGCGAGGCGGTCTGGAAGGCGCATGGTGATAAAATAGAGCATCATGCAGAAAGCGGGGGGGAGCGTAGTGAGCTGGGCAGCAGTGCTGGCAGTGCGATAGCGGGTCTCTAGGGCACGCAGGTGAGTGGAAAAGTCTGCGACGGTAGGGAAGGCTGCAAGGTCTGGGAACAGCATCGGGAAGAGCAGGCGGCCAGTAGAAGCAGACGCGGGTGTGGAATAGCGAGCAATAATGGCGTCTAAGTAAGCTTTGGCCGTCTCAACAGTAGCAGAACGCGAGCGCTCAGACACAGGGAGGGCGTGGCTAATAGCAACCTGAGCGACTGCATCGCGGGAGTCCGAGACCGCACAGGCAAGCGCAGCAGTAGAGAAGGCTAGGAGGCACGGCAGGGCCTAGGAGGGGCGCGAGGGGGGTAGGGGGCGCGACGGTGCCTAGGGGAAGTGGCGGGGCCTAGCCAGGGTACGGGCGGAAGCGGTAGGTGGGGGATTCTAACCTACGCGTGATACCATGTCAAAGTAAGAACTGAATTGTGAACTAGAAGTAGAAACCTAGTACAAATACTAGTTGGTTGTACTCACTAGAAGCATACCCCAGTCTAGCCTATAACTTGTACACAGCTAACATGTATAAGTTGACACATTCACCACCGCCATTTCCGGTCTGCTTTTCAAGTCCTGGCGTGACGACCAGGGTCCTCTTTAACAGACAAAACCCGTCTGTTTGTCTTACCGTAATCCCCCGTATATAAGACCCGCCGAAATAGTCAGCCCATGGGTGGCTTATGCGGGGGATAGCTTATGATATGGCGCATTTTTTAGAGTACCCGCTTTTATGGGTTTGCATTTTACATAACACCCTGCACGTTTTTCTTGCCTTTAATAGTATTCGGTCCTTCATTACCTAGGTTCGCTCACAGGGCTGACGTTTCAAAAAAAGGCACTCTGATTTTACCCCCCAAACAAAATTCCAAGTCTGAGGGGCCAGCATACAACTCTGAAGGGTTCAGCATTCAGAAAATGGCAAGTCTGAAAAATCAGGATCGGCCAAAAAATTGGTCTGAAATTTCAGACAATCAGACTAAAATAGTCTGATAAAATCAGCCCTGCTCTCCAGGCGACAGGTCCGGTGGATCGACTTCCTCGAGACACACTTCCACTACGACATCGTGTACAAGCCCGGCCACAAATACAAAGCGGATGCCCTTAGCCGGCCTGCACACGTTGCCACTATCCAGGTTGAGGGGATGAATCCACTACTCAAGGGACTCTTCACACACGGGTACTCCATCGACCCCGAAATTCCCTTGGCAGAAAGGCGATGCCTACTACAGTGGGACAATGACATCGCGTACCGCAAAGGATCAACAAAGATCTGGGTACCTAATTACCCTCCTTTGCGCCAGTTACTACTCGAAGAATACCACGACGTTCTATACGCTGGACACTTCGGTAGCAACAAGACGCTGACCGGTATCGCGAAGCACTACTACTGGCCCCACTTGGCGGAAGATGTTCATAAATTCGTCACCTCGTGTGATACATGTCAACGGATGAAGAGTAGCAAGCAGAAGAAGGCGGGACTGCTACAGCCTCTTCCTGTCCCAGAACAACCATGGCAAGTGGTTAGCCTAGATTTCATCACCGGGTTACCACCTACCCCCAATGGCCATGACGCGATCCTTGTCATCATCGACAAATTCTCCAAAATGGGACACTTCATCCCGACACACACGAGGAGACAGCACAACTCTTCGTACGCTACATTATCTCACAACATGGCATTCCAACCACTCTCATCTCCGACCGAGATCCCAAGTTCACCAGCAAATTCTGGAAGGAACTAATGTCTCTGCTCGGGACCAAACTCGCCATGTCATCCGCATACCATCCGCAGACAGACGGACAGACCGAGCGTCTCAACCAGATTGTTGAGCAACTCCTCCAAGCAGCCTGCAAGGACGAGATCTCCAAATGGGACTTGCACCTGCCCGTTCTCGAGTTTGCTTACAAAAACGCTACACATGCCGCTACTGGACAGACACTGTTCTTCCTCTACTACGGACGTCACCCACTCACACCACAAAAACCGACAACATCAGCAACAGTCCAACCTGCACACGACTTTATTACGACCATGCATCAGCTTTGGGATCGGACCCACAAGCGCCTCCTTGACATCCAGCAGCAACAGAAGCGCCAGGCCGATCGCCATCGCAATGACCACACCATCACGGTAGGAGACTAGGTGCTTCTTGACACCCGCAACCTGGACATCAGCCACCTCCCATCTAAACTTCGACCTCGCTTCTGCAGACCTTTCCTCGTGGAAGCACAGGTCACTCCTGTTACCTTCCCCTTACGCCTGCCAGCTACCTGGAAGATTCACAATGCCTTCCATGTCCAAGTTCTGAAGCCCTATCAGGATCCAAACACGATCTTCGTCGGACGCCAACCGCCGCCGCCGCCGCCCGTCCTCGTCCAGAATGAACCCGAGTACGAGGTCGAGTCCGTGCTTGCACACCGCCGTCATCGGAATGGCACCGTGGAGCTTCTTATTCGTTGGAAGGGTTATGATCCTTTCGAGGACCGCTGGGTACCAGAGACCGACATGGGTAACGCCCGTCGTCCTCTACATGACTACCTTGTCAAGCAGGGTGTTACTTCTACCACCCAGCTTTGAGGGGGGGAAGTGTGAGAGTCCGACCGCGTTACACCACTTATCCCTTCTTCTCTTTCCTTTCCATTCCATTCCTCTTTTTATCCTGATCCATTTGGTCTTGATCTCATTCCATTTGGATCCTATTTCTCCTTTTCCATTAACCTTTGGTTTATCCTGTTATTATCGTTATATCATCGACCAGGCTCGGGATGTACTGGCGCGCTTTATCTAGCGTAATCCTGCCGTAATCCCTTAAAGCCAATAGCCTCGCGTGGCTATACGCAGGGTGATTCTATATTCTAGAAGGGTCTATTCCCTTGGGATAGGATAAACCTGGTTACCTGATGTACTCTGGAAGTATAAAAGCACCTTGTACTGATCGATAGTGCAACCTTTCCTCGAGACATTCGATCATGTGACACGCACTCTCCTTGGGCGTACAGGGCTGCCTGATCCGTTTTGGGTGTCTGCACTGAGGCAGGTTGCTCTTGTGAAGAACAGGGTGCTGGCTATAGTTGGGGATAAGGAGTGGATCCCATATACCAAGTGGTATGGGAGTGCTCCAGCTGTGAACATGCTTAGGGCATTTGGGTGCATGGTGGTGTTTCATGTGCCCAAGGAGAAAAGGGGGAAGTTGGAGGCTTCTGGAAGATGGGGTGTGCATTTGGGGATTGCAAAGGATCACAAGGGGTGGCTGCTGTGGGACTTGACCACCCAGAAGTTGACAGTGTCAAGGGATGTGAAGTTTCTTGAGTCTCTGTACAACAAGGAATGAAAGCAACAGCAACAGAAGCTTCCATCTACACCGCTAATTGTGGAGGCAGATGAGGTGCAACGGCCTTCAAGACAGGTGGAGGTTGCAGTGTCTGAGGAGGAGATGTCTGGTGTGATTGAGGAAGGGGGAGCAGCTGAGGTGGAGCAGCAGCAGCAGCATGAGTCTCCACCTCGAGCTCCACACCCGCCTGAGCGTCCTAGGAGGGATGTGCGCCCTCCTGTGAGGCTGACCTATGGGGGAAGAGGCAAGCCGAATGTGGTGCAGGCTGGGAGTGTGGTTGAGCAGATTGAGGAAGATGAGATCGCTCACTGCTACTGGGCACCAATCCCTGAGGCCAAGACTCGAGAAGAGGCCTTGAATGGACCAAATGGGGAGAAGTGGAAGGCGAGTGAGGATGAGGAGTTCGGGTCCCTGATTGAGAACGAGACATGGGACCTATGTAACTTGCCTCCTGGGAAGAAGGCAATCACTTCCAAGATGATCTACAGGCACAAGTATGGACCTGAAGGGGAGCTGACCCGCTACAAGTCTAGGCTTGTGGCAAGGGGGTTTCAGCAGACAAAGGGGAAGGACTATGATGAGGTGTTTGCTCCTGTGGGGAAAGGAACAACACTGAGGGTGCTGTTGGCGATAGCTGCACTCCTGGGATGGAAGATTCGGCAGATGGACATTGTGACTGCCTTTTTGAATGGAATCATTCTGGAGGAGGTGTACATGAAGCAGCCAGAGGGGCTAGATGATGGGAGCGGCAGGGTCTGCAGGCTGAAGAAGGCCATCTATGGCCTTAAGCAGGCGCCTCGTGTAGGGTATAACAAGTTGGAGGAGGCGCTGCTGGCTGGGGGTTTTAAGAAGAGTGAGTGTGACCCCAGCATGTTCCTGCTGTAGGAGAAGGATGAAATCCTCATGCTCTTGGTGTATGTGGATGATATCCTTCTCTTTTCCGCATCAACTGCTTTGCTGGACAGCGCAGAGCAGATGCTAGAGATGCAGTTCAAGTGCTCCAAGATGGGTGAGGTGAAGTACTACATGGGGATGCATGTGGAGAGAGATGTGGAAAAGGGTGTGCTGAGGTTGCACCAGAGGAAGCACTGTGAGGGGCTGGCTGAGAAGTATGGGCTGCAAGATGGGGGAAAGCCACCAACACCACTACCTTCGGGGTTTACTGTGGAGCCATGTGCTGATGAGGAGGTAGTGGGTGAGAGTGACAAGAAGTTATTTCATTCGATGGTAAGGTCGCTAAACTATGCTGCAAATCATACACGGTCTGACATTGCATTTGCTACATCACTACTGGCTAGTGTGGTTTCACACCCTAGTCATGAGCAGCTGGAAGCGGCCAAGAGGTTGGTCCGCTATGTGAGTGCTACGGCATTAGTGGGATTGGAGTACAGTGGAGTGAGGCAGCAGTTGCAGAGAGGTGCTGCACATGTGAAGTGTGGTGAGATGCTCTTGAGTTGCTATACTGACGCTAGCTTCAACTCAGTGAAAGCAAATGGCACCAGCATTGGGGGTAATGTCTGCTTGCTGGGAGGTGGTGCTGTGAGCTGGTGCAGCAAGAAGCAGAATGAGGTGGGATTGTCCTAATGTGAGACTGAGTACATGGCCTTACACCATGGGGCCAAGGAATGGTGTGGCTGAGGCGTTTATTGGAGGAGTTGGGAGTTGGTCAGAAGGAGCCGACGGTGATCTTTTGTGACAATGAGTCTATAGTGAAGCTGGCCAAGAATGCTTGTCTGCATGCGCTGACAAAACACATAAGGCCTAAGTGGCACTGGGTGAGGAGACTCTTTGATGAGGAGGTGCGGCTGGAGATAGTGAAGACCCATTAGCAGGCAGCAGATATTTTCACTCAGCGTCTGGCGGAGGCGGATCATGGGAAGGGCATGAAGCTTGCTGGGATGAGTGTGCATTGGGTATGCATGCTTGAGATGTTGGTATGGTGGATGATGGTTGGCAGCCAGAGGGGGAGATTGTTGTGTGATGTTATCATATGCCATCACATTCTGTCTGCCTCCCATCCCGTGCTTTCAACTTGCATGTGTGGTTTGAATGTATGCAAGCATTTATACATGGTGTGTTATGGAGTTTGGGAATGTGTTATGTGTTATTTTTGTTTGAGCAGTATTTGTGATGATTGATCTTGAGAAGATCTCTTCGACGCAACAAGAATCGCTTCAATCGGAGCAAGAACGCGAAAACCATGAAGATTCAAAGTTCATTAGCTTGCGTTACAATTTCGGCGGTTACAAAGTGAAATTGTGGGGTGACTCTATATGGAGTTGGGACCATTAGAGGTTGGGAAAATTCGTCACTCTACTGTAGCAGCTGCAAATTCGTTGGAAACAACCAAACTAAGTTGGCAAGGGTGGCCAACTTGGATGGATTGGTTGGGAAGGGACAAAGGTCAAAGTTGGGGTTCCTATAGGGAGGGAACTTTGTGCTTATGGGGTTTCCTTGGTTGGGAACTCTCTTGGGACCTTCCCTCTCATCCCTCTCTTCCCTTCCAACCTTTCTCTTGCTCCTCTAGTTCCTTGTAAAATTCTTGAACCTTGATTGAAGTTTGAGATTGAGTTAAGTTCTTCTCCTACAGCTTACCCCTCCATGCATCGAAAGATATAGCGTCGCGAATACTCCATCAATCAACGTGATTCGAATTGGGAATGGTAGCTACTATTACGAGCTACAACATACCCGAGTTTCGCGACATTCCAACGGCTAGTTTTCTTGTCGACGACGTTTCTTGTGGAGACGATTTTTTCTGTCCAGAATTTCGGATTTCTATTTTGAGTAATTCTAGCTCCTAAGTTCATCTAGACTCCGTCCTTAATCCTAACAGTGAGAACTTAACTAAACGTCCATAAAGTGAAACAGCTCAGAGTTTCAACATCTACAAACCACACTTTCGACTGTCACGGTAATGCATTGTACAAGGGGCGTAGCTTCGTGCATATGCCCATTGATGTGATCTATGTTAGAATCGCAGAACCATTAAAATAAGTGAGAACAGGGGAGATATAGGGTTGGAGATAAGTTGATACACCCCCTAGGCTAGATAAAGGGCAGTGCTGAGCAAGGAACACACAGCTCAGGGTGGCACTACAAGTCCAACCTCTGAGGTAGGGGTCCAAAGGCCAGTCAGCAAGAGTACAAACAAGACAAGAGCAAGCCAGGGCGACACTACTAGTCCGGCCACTGGAACAGAAGCCACAAGGCCAGTCAGGAAGGTATATATAAAGAGGAGTACACAATCAAGGTCCAAGCAAGTAAGGAGCTACAGGAAATTGACCAAGTTGCAATCAGTGCCGCTGATGATGTTTAGGCGCAAGCGCCTTAGTAAAGATATCAACTGTGTTGGCACAGGAGGCCAAGTGTACTACGCGGGCCTGGCAACGCTGCTGTAGCTAGCGCAAGAGGAAGTACCGCAGCTGGATGTGCTTCGCTCTGCCCTCAAGTCGAGGCTCCTGACACAGGAGGATCATGGCCATATTGTCAGCGTACAGAACTGGGGCAGAGCTAGACCGCTCACCTTCGTCGGTGAGCAAGAAGGTCAGCCAGCGGAGCTCCTGTGGCGCCATGGCACCTGCCTAGATCTCAGCCTCACAGCTAGACTAGGCAACAAACGAGGAGCGAGTGGACCTCCACAAGATGCCACCTGAACCAAGGCTAAAGTAGTAGCCCTGGGAGGACCTGCGAGTCTCAGCATTGTCTGCCCACGAAGCATCTGTGTGCCTAGTAAGGACCACTGGCCTGCGTCCTCCCAGCACGAGTCCTTTGCCCGATGCACTTGCTACATAACCCAAAACCCTCTTAACGGTCGACCGGTGCTGTGGACGGTGTCTGTCTGACGTCACAAAGCGAGCCAGGATGCTGATAGGGTATGCGAGATCTGGACGAGTGCAACTCATCAGGTACATGAGACAACCCACAAGCTCTGCGTAAGGACCATTGGGCTCTCATGAATCCTCAGGAACTGGAGCAGAGAGCGTGTGTTCCACTGGAAGAGGTGTGGGCTGTGTAGAGAAGAACTGAAGACCGAACCTCTGAAGGACCGGGCGCACCAAGTGGGACTGTGTGAGAGTAATGGTGCGTGCTGCTCTGTCTCTGGAGATCTGCTGGCCAAGGTAGCGGTGCAGCTCTCCTTGGTCAGTGCAGGTGTGTCTCCTCAGCAGCTCGGCCTTCACAAAGGCCAGTGCATCTCTGTCGGCAGTAGCGAAGACCAGGTCGTCTACGTAGACAAGGATGTAGAACGGGGTCTGGCCAGCACAAACAAAGTGCGAGGGGTCTGCAGATGAACGGGAGAACTACAAGTTAACTAGCGTAGTACGCTGAGTGTCGTTCCACTCACAAGGCGCCTGTCGCAGGCCATAGACTGGGCACCGGAGGAGCTACTGGGTCCCAGGAGGGAAGGTACCGGTGAAGCCGTGCGGACAACGTAGGTAGACCTGCTTGTGAAGGCTGCCCTGAAGAAAATCTGTGGAGAAGTCGAGGGAGTGGAGCTCGTAGTCACGCTGTGCTGCTACGTGTAGCCGTGCCCGAAGAGTAGTCATCTTCGGGGTCGGGGCGAAGGTCTGAAGGAAGTCCACACCCTTGCGCTGACTAAAGCGTCTAGCCGCGTAGTGCGCCTTGAACACAGGCGGCTCTCCATGTGGGCGCTTCACCTTGAAGAGCCACCGGCCATCGACTACGTTCACCCCAGGCGGGGGAACTGCATCGACATAGGTGCCGGTGGATCTCTAAGATGCCATCTCCTGCTCCATGGCAGCTATCCATTGAGAAGCCCATGGTTCTGAGGTCGCCTCAGCGTAAGTGCAAGGGGTCGGGATGTCAAGGGCGTCCAAGCTGACCAGAAGCGAACTTGCCGCCACGGTCAAAGTGGAGACATAGTACAGTGAGACCGTGGTGGAGGCGCGTGACTACAATCCACGGGATAGGAATATCATGGATGTCGGCCTTCTGGTCCAGGAGAAACACCGTGGTGTAGCGCGTGAATTCGTCGACGAGAACGAGAAAGTAGCGCTCGCGACGCGCCCCAGGGACTGGAGCTAGGCCCCATACATCCATGTGCAGGGTATGGAGTGGTGCGGTGGTAGGGTGAAGTGAGGACGAATGAGGAGCACGGCGCGGATTGTGCATGGCGGTGCAGGCGAGGGAGGGAGGGCAGGAAGCGACGCAGGGAGACATAGGACGAGACAATCTTGAGACATGTGATGCAAACGCAGGCAATGACAGGACCAGAGGAAGGGTCAGCAACTGCGACGACGGCAGGCGCGGCAAGCGGCGTCGAGCTAAAGGACAGCGAAGTTGAAGCAGCAGCCAAAGGAGGAGCGAGTGTGGAGCCTAGGCTAGACAAGGCAAAAGGTCCTACACTTGACGCATCAGGGGAGTCTGTACTACACTCAGGTATGACACCTAAACTAGATAACACAGAATAATAAGATCCGGGCACACTAGAAGCATCAGTATACAGAGAGTGCTGGGCAGAACTAATCTGATCCATATTTAACTCAAAGACAGGCACACTATGGCGCAGCACGCTGGGCCAGTCAGGGAGGTCTGGGGCCGGGTTGAAGCGGCGACGAAAGAGGTCGTCGAGGCGGTGGAAGCAGTGGGCGGTCGGGTGCGGGCGGCGACACACAGTGCCGTGGAGTGGGCCGGTCTAGAGCTGGTACTCGCTGCTCACAGCACCGAAGCTGCCGGCCGACGCCGAGCTGCGAGGGCCGCTACCGCGGCCACCACCTCCAGTGGCTCCTGGCCACCCGGCGGGAGGCGGGCCCACGGCTGCCGCTGCGGCTGCTGCTGCTCCTGGGCACCAGCCCCAGTCCCCTCGTTAGAGCCACTGTCCCCGCCACCACCACCACCACCACCAACACGCCGTCCCTTGGGGCCACGATGGCTCCGACGCGGGCGCGGCTGCGGGGACGCTGCAGCTGCGGTCTCAGCGCCAGGGGCAGCCATAGCAACCACAGCTGAAACGTCAGCGTACATGCACTGGGAGGGTGCATAGCCCTGAAAGATAGGGACTGCCGCAACACCGCTCGACTGAGCGATAGTGCGCTGGCGAGTCTCTATCTCAGACAGGGCGGTGACAAAGGCGGTCAGGGTGAGGTTACCGGGGTGCTGGCTAAGGAAGTGGTCGCGAGCAGTGGCT